CCAGAGCTGCGTTCGCTCGATTTCACTCGTTGTCGACTGACGGCACGATGTCTTCCCGCACTTTGCGCCGCGCTGCCTCTCTTTGATAGGCTGGAGGAGATCAGCCTCGATCGGAATGATTTACGGGTGATCGATGCTGGAGATGCGTCAAATACTGAAGATAAAAGGGAAACACCGGAGGGGGATTTGCCGCTCTTTGCGTACGATCCTAAATTTATGCAAAGCGGTAGTCGTGGCGATTGGAAGGTATCCACGTCGTTTGAGCTCGACCGCCGTGACGCAATTGAAGGCCGCCGCAGGTTTAAAGGAACCGAGTCGTTCCAAACACCTCTTTCGTCACGTGAATCGATTGGGGGCGTGGTGCCATTTGAGCAGCTAGGCTTGGCGCTGTCAGGTTGTCGTGAACTGGGCCGCCTCTCGCTTTCCAGCTGCTCTTTGACGGATGATTGTTTCTTGGCGATGGCTGGGGCGCTTGTGGTCCGCCGCCTGACGCACCTTGACCTGAGCGCCAACCCCCTCTTTACTCGAATGGAAAGCCTGGAGGCGCTTGCGAAATTACTTCGTCGTGCATCCGCGTCGATGCAGAAACTTGATCTCTCATGCACGGGTTTGGGAAGCGTCGGTGCGTCGCTGCTCGTGGATGGTTCCCCAACGGATGACACTAATGGGGATGCAGACGAGGCAGTCTCAGCCCTGCGCTCGTTAACGGCGTTGACAGAGCTAAGATTTTCCAGCTGCCGTATCGGCGCGGAGGGGTTTGAGGCAATTGCGGATGCCTTTCCCGCTATGACTCTCCTGGAACGAGTGTTTCTGGATGGCAACGCCGTCCAAAAGTTGGATGTCATCCTCTATTTGCTCAGTGCATTGGAGGCGCTGCCCTCGCTGCGTTTTGTTGGGCTGTACGGCTCTGTCCCACCCCACCTCGCGGCCACCGTTGGGGCTTCACGTGAGTACGCCGCCCTGCAGAGCAAAGGGGTCGTGGTTCACTTGTAGTAGCATGTCTTGTGGGTGTTGGGCGGGCAATTTGTTGCAGACGTTTGCGAATGAATGAATGGAAAGGAGGGGATGCGGTGGTGTACCGTGAGATTCAGGGGAGAAAGAAGTTTTGTCCGGTGCCACCTTTTCCCTCCATCTCTCTGCTTCTCATGTCATTTTTGTTGACGTTTCTGTCTGTGAATGAGGTTGTTGTTTTTTTTTTTCTTTATCTTTTTTGTTGTTTTTTCTGTGCCAATTTTATTGATTGTTTATGGATGGCGCAGCCGGTGTTCCTGTCACTTTTTTTGTGTGTGTGCGTGTGTGTGTATTACACGCCTTGGGTTATGAAGGGACCCAAGAAGAGATACCGCGGGGACGGGGACGATCATCAAAGTTACCACCACCACCAACAACAACAACAACAGCCTCGTGTGCGATATGCCGATCTTGCACCCGAAGTGAAACTACAGAGGCGCCGCGAGGAACGACAGGTGAAGAAGGAGATGGAGCGTACCCTGTCGTACTTCAAGTCGGTTCAGAGAGCGTTAGAGGAACAGGCATCTGGAGCCGGGGATGCGAGTACGTTGGCCTCAATTGTGGATGGCTTTTTTGTGGAGCTTATAAAACTTCTTAAAGCCGATTCTACTTTGCATCTCTTGAGGAATGGCCTCGTATGCCGTGTTATTGAGTCCGCATTGGCAAATTCTCTTCTTCTTCAGAGTAAGTCGCTTCTTTATGTTCTATTAGGGCACGTGTTTGACACCGTAACCTCCCCTACGGCAAGTTACACGATGGAGACACTTTTGGCGAGCCTGGCACAGGCGCTCAGTGCATTGGCTGATGACGAGGTGGAATCCTTTGAGGCGGAAATGACGGATGGCGGGCCAGGCGTTCACGCTGGAAGTGGTGTGCCGAGTGCTGCCACCCTCATCACGTACGTCGTGGAGGAATTATCTGAGCGGGCGGAGGAAATTATTTTGCATGAGGTTGCCGCCCGTGCGGTGCGGTCCATCGTGTTGGTGCTCGGCGGCTTCACAATTCGCGGGGCTCCACCGCTAGAACATGTGGTGAAATTCACGCAGCCACTAGGTGCGTTGGGCATTGCCCTGATGAAAGGATTGGAAGCCACGTTTAGGGAACATAACTCCCGGCACGCTGCACATGTGTGGCTCAACATCGCCAACACACCAACCGCCAGTTTCATTCTGCAAAGCCTTCTTCGCGTGTGTGAAGCGGGCACTGAAGTCGACGTTGCCGTCCGTCAACGTCTGGAATCCATACATGACGATGATAGAGTTGCATTGCTGCGGCATCTTCTGATGGATCCGATGGGCTGTCACATTTTTCAGGCGTACATTAAAGTGCCAGCACCGTTGGAACTGTTGGAGGCGTGCGATGTTCTTTCAAACCGCAGGGCAAGGGCCGCAGCGGAACTCACATCCGCAAAGGGGCGAAGGCTTCAAGAAATTCTGCGCGAAACGGCAGATAATGTGACGGATGAGGAAGAGCGTGTGGTGGCCCTCCGAGCGCAGGAGAAAACATGCTGGGACAAGGCTCTTGATGTTGTGATGGAGGTGCTTGAGGATATTTTTGATCCTGCAGCGGAGCAAATGAACCCGGTGCACTACGTGCTGCAGGATCTCGTGCTCTTTGCCCCAACGGCGGTGCACCTGGAATGTCTCTGGGAGCGATTGTTAAAACCACGGATACGGATGTTTGTCTCGTTACCGGCACTAATGCATGTGCTTGCGGCATTTGCGCGAAAGTGCGCCTTTTCTGGTTCACTTGGGCCGAGAGACGGTGGCAACGATGGCAATAATTACAACGACATCGCCGTGGCCGGGGCGGTGGAAAGCAGCAGTGATGCACTGCCAAAGGACATTGACCAACTGCTGCGCACGGATATGGCGCGAGGGGTGCGTTACTTTACGGTTTCCGTCAATTTTCAGGAGACAGTAATCACAACTCTCTGTTCTGCGATCAATGAGGAGTGTAAGAAGGGCGCCGCACAATTCCTTCTTGTTGACGGGAACGCGCATGAAAAAGGCGCTGAGTTGGCCCGCTACATTCTCCATTTCCACCCACCGGCATCGGCGATGTTCGTCCACGCGATGGACAAACTCTCCCTCAAAGACATGGAGTTCCTCATTCGACACGGGAAGGGAAGTCTCGTTGTGCAACAGTATTTACGCGCAGCGGCGGTTGTCCAGACATTGCCGCATGCACAGGGAAATAAAGGGGAAGAGAAGAAAATGGATAAAACGGGGCCGATGCGTTTTCTGCGTCGGATTGCGTTGCTGCTGCACGATTTGGTGGGCGACACGTACGCGGCGTATGTAGTGGAGGTGCTCTACGAGGTGGGGTCGCTGGAGGTGAAGGAGGAACTTGTGAAGCTCCTGGTGCCCATTTACTCCAGTCTGCAGCACGGCCATGGAAAGGCATCTAAAGTGGAAGACCGTGATGAAAGTAGGGAAGGTGAGGAAGATGGAAATGCCACGGCCGCGAATCGCCCGCAGATGCGGGATTTTATTGCACGTAAGGTCATGACGAAGTGTTGCGTGGAGTTGTACATGCACAGACCAGATGACTGGACCAAACTTGCCCGCCGTCAGTGCCAAGTAATGCGACTATTGCAGCGCATGTCCGCTGTTTCATCCTAACTTTTAAGACCCGCGTGGGACAGGGAGAGAGAAAACGAAAAGGATAGGCCTTATGCGTGTGTGTGTGTTTTTTTTGTTCTCTCCCTCTTTTTTTTTCTTTTTCTTTTTTGTTGGGACCACTTAGCTAAAATGATCCATAAACGAAGCGGTGTCTTAATTGTTCTACATGAGTTGATAAAGATTTAGCATGGCGAGCACGAGTTTTATCTACGGCGTGGTCTGCATTTGTGCATCGTGTGTCTTTTCGTTTCTTCTTGAATTTTTCTGCTGTTCTTGTCGCTGGATTCCTCTTTTTTTTTGTTGTTGTTGTTGTTCTCTTTAGCAGCTGTATTTGTTGTTGTGGTGGTGGTGGTGTTGGTTCTATTGTCTTGGGTACACAAGATGGCCAATTCGCGGAAGGAGCTTCGCGCAGTGCAGGACCGGCTGGAGTACGTGGAGCGCCGCGAAAAGGAGCGCGAGCAGGATCTGTACGAGCAGCTGAAGAGCATGCAGCTTGAGCTCTCACAGATGCGGGGGAACTTCACCAGCGCGGAAAATGAGTGCCGCCAAGAGATGTCACGCCTGCAGCGGGAGTGGCAGAAGGCAACGGCGGCCGCGAAGGAAGCGCAGAAGAAGGCAGAGAATATTTGGCGCGATTTGATACTGGAGGAGAGGGAGCGGCTTGTGACGGAGCATCAGCAGCGGGAGCGGGAGCGATTTGATTCCCTCCATCACTTGGTGGAATCACTCGCCGATGAGTTGGCTCGACTGTCGGATATAGTGGCGGCGACCCGCACAGGGAACAGCCAGCTGTCGTCGCATGTCGAGCAGGAGTTAGAGCGGCACCGGTCGTGGTTGAAACGGCATAAGAGAGAAGAGTCTGAATTTTTAAATCTTTTTGAAGAGACATGTACGCAACTGCAGGATGCACTTCGTCATGAGCGGCGGGCACGCGAGGAAAGTATGAACCGCATTGAGAAGTTGTTGACGCGCCGTGGTGTTGATTCTGCCACCGCCCCCGTCTCGAACTTCCACCGATTTTAGATGCTGTAGAGTAGATGGTTTTACCGTGAAGAGTGTTACTTTCAATTGCTTTTCTCCTGCTGCTGCTGCTGCTACTGACAGTGGCAGTGGGAGTGTATGTATGTGGGGGGAATTTGTTTTTGTTATTTTGCTCCCGTCTCTGTGAGCGGTGCAAGGCGCTGCTGAGGAGAAGGGGGCGCACATGTTGCATGCACCCCTCGTGTGCCGTTTCTTATCCCGCCTTGTGTGTGTCTGTTTGTGTGTGTTGTGCAAGGAAAAGGTAGAAGCCGCCAACAGCGAAGAAAAACAAAAGGAATTTTATTTTTTTTTTTTTTTTGGCCCGTGTGTGTTTGTGCACTTCTCATGGGGGGAAAAACGAACTTGTGCGAGCTGTACCGCACGTACTGCGCGGAGGAGGGTTGCCGCGTGAACTCGGCAGTCCTGCAGTACATTGAGAGCCGTGGGGCGATGTGCCCGCTGGAGAAGCTCGAGTTGGGCAGCAATTATCTCGGGGCTCGCGGACTGCGCCCCATCATACGGCTTGTGGAGTACTCCCAGACCCTCACTTCCCTCGTTCTTGACGGCAACGGGGCGGACAATGAGACGGTTGACCGGCTCTGCGAGGTTCTTGAGAAGCACCTGAGCATAGAGTACCTGAGTCTGCGCAAGAACCCCATCACAGTGACGGGAGGGAAACGTCTGCTGGCGCTTGTGAAGCAAAATCCGCGCATCGTCGGCGTTGACCTTCAAGACACCGATGTCTTTGATGCACTCATCTACAAGATTACAAAAGTCACGGAGTCCAACCATGGACGAGGAATGCGAGAGAGACCGCAGCTGACCGCGACAGAGCTGGACGGAACGCAAATGTCCCGTGGACATATCGGGACTGCAGCGACGCGGCCCTCGGCGGAGAGGCCAACCCTAAGCACATTGCCCGCCATCTCACGGGATGCGACTGGGAAGGAGGCGCTCTCAAAAGTCATCGGGCCGCTGCCGCACCGGTCAAGCGTCGCACCGGTGATCACGAAGATAAGAACGCGGCCGCTGGAGCCTGCGCTCGCCTCGAAGGAGTGCGGACGATTGCCGGATTTGCAGCGGCAGGAATTACAGCGACGCTACAAGGAGAAGGCGATCCTGTCTCGCGAGATCAACAGCAGCCAGGCGAGTAGGGCGGCGGACCGTGCGCGGGAGGAGTTGATGTTGTTGGAAAAAACCGCGAAGAGCTCTTCGTCCCGCAAGAAGTGTGGAGCGAAGACGACTACGGCGGTCTCCCTGCCGGAAAACACGAAGAACCGGAAATCACCTCTATCCCATCACGCACAGACCACCGATTTTACCGAAATGGCGAGTCCAAAGATCAATGTGGATGCGTCTTTATTGCCACAACAGCAGAAGGATAAGGATAGCGGCATGCAGGGTCCAGAGGAATTGGATGCCGCAGCGAGCATTTCCAACTCTACAGGTGAGATAATTGTGAAAAGGAAAAGTGGCGATAACAACGAGCCCGGTGCAGACGCAACCCCTCATCCGGACGCTGATGCACGTGTTGTGGCACCAGCCGAGCAAACGGATGCTGAGGATGCGGTCGCGAAAAAAAAAACAGAATCAGAATTGGTTGCGACAAACAATTCGGACGACCTTCCACTGGATATTTTGCGGGACACGCCTCAGTGGATGATGCTTGACAGCAACGAGCAGTTTCAGCGTCTCTTCGACAGTGGCTGCCGCGCCTATGTGAGACATGACTTTGATGAGGCGTATACGACGTGGAATGAGGCGATGAACATTGCGGCAAGTAAAAAGAATCGGGAGTGGATGGCAGTTCTTTCAAGCAACCTGAAGCGTCTGAGTTACGAGATTTTGGTGCGCGAGGGGGTGGAAGAGCTCGAGCAGGACCATCTTGAGGAGGCAGATCTTATTTTTCAGCGTGCCCAGGAGGTGGCGCAGGAGGCACGCAACGCCAAGTGGGAAGCCGATATGTACAAGGCACGGAAAGATGTGCAGCACGCTGTCTTTCAGCGCTGTCATGAGGCGGCGTTGAAGGTGTTCGAGCGGGCACAGCAGGTGCATGAGCACAAACTGACCGAGGACGATTACTTTGTTGTTCCCGGTACGGACGTGATGGTGCAACACACAGAGACTTACGTGAATGTGTGGCCTCGTATGCTGCTCGTGAAGGAGGCTGTGGAAATGTGGGCGGCGTCGCGGCGTGTGACCCAGCGCATTGGCGGCACAGAAAGTCGTGTCCTACAGAATGTTGTTAATGAGGCACTTGACACGGTCGCGTGTTTTCTCGCAAAGCGGTGCTTTGACACGGAGGACACGCAGTCGTTGAGCTGGATGCGCACCTCCCTCTACAGCTACCATGAGTGCGTCATGCTGAGTTCACTGTGGACAGACATGGCCTCCTGTGACGTGTTCGCGGAGCACCACAAACTCTTTGCAGCCCTTGCAGCCGCGCAAATTGGGAACTTTTACCTCGCAACCAACCAACTCAGCGAGGCACAGGCGCAGTTTGACACGCTTGAATGGCTTGCGGGGGAGCTCGACGATCCGCTCCTGCGTGCGGCCGGACACACATTCAGTGCCATTGTCAATTGGCAACGTTCACGATACGCCGCGGCAGAACCCCTGTTGCGCGCAGCAGTGCTAGAATGGGGCGCACTTCGTGATGCATCTTCGTCGCAGCGCAAGAAAGAAAACGGGGGTGACGACACCGCCGACAGCAATGAGGACAAAACTTGCGGCTCGAAACTGCTTGCGTCTGTGCCGACGGATTATTTCTCCATCATGGAGTCTGTTAGCTTCAAGTACCTCGTCTCCAGTATTGCAAGCACGTACCGTTACAGTGAGGCACTGGAGGTACTGGAGCACAGCCTTGTGTGCAAGTACCGCGACCTCTTGTTTGACAAGATGCGGGTAAACTTTGGCGCCCAGCCGACTTTGGAGCACATTGTGGCGACATCGTCGCTGATTCGATCGCCGTTTATTTATCAGGTGGCGA